ATAATCCCAAACAAAGCGAGGGGGAAAAGCATTCCTGTGTTAGTGAGCAAAATGTCTGTTTATCATTGTTTTTATTAGTATTGGATCCAATTTGCTGTATTGTTATTCATCACATTTCCGCTGTGTTGCATAATATTTGTTACATAATGAAAGCAACACAAAAATAGATGTCTATAATTTGGCTGATGGCCATAAGTAGGAACACTTTTATTGCAAAAAAAAGGAGAACTGCATTTAGGATCATGTTAATGTTGAAACAAAGTCGATTGCATAAGCCAGAGGGATTTCTTGTGTCACGATGGTTTTCTCTTTCTTTCTGCATCAAGTCGGATGTATTATAGTTTAATGACTGTGTCCCTCACATTGAGCTGTGTGAGCTGCTTTTCGTGGTTTACGAAAAGATTAATTGGTATAAGAGAAGTCATCCGGGGCTTCATTTGTCCTGGGTTGTCGTGGTATCTACATATTCTATTATTTCATCCCCTATTCTCAAATATCTGCAAACACTTGTTAATACTTATTATGTTTTCTTGATGTTATCTGTCCAGTCTTTCTTTTTTTTCCAGTGTTAATTCTAAAAGCAAATTTTAAATTTTAAATTTGACTAAAATGTCATTTAGTTTTGGCATCTAGGTTCTTTTGGTTTTAGTCAACTAAACATTGTAGAATATAAGATTGTTGTCGGCCAAACCTGAAGTTGATTCGGTTGACTAAAATATAACTTGTAAAAATGTTCTCCTGTTTTTACTGGAGAACGTTGCTCTAATGGGTTTAAAAATTATTTTCCCTTGACTCTTCTTTTCTTCCTAAGTGTTAACATGTTACGTATTCATGAGAAACAAGTGTGGGAGCTAGCTGTACTGTTCCCCGAGGGCTGCTGAAATGTGTTCCTGCAACATTACTAAACAAGGAGATTAATTCTGATTGGATCAAACTCTTCCCGCCTTTCTACAAAACTTATTCAGTTCTGATTGGATCTCATCTCTCTAGAATATTTTCATCTTGTTTTTATTCGTTGATGAAGGAGTCAATACTTTTCATTATAATTTTTGTCCTTGTGCATCAGCTTTTATTTATGATGAAAATGAGCAAACGGTTTAGAGAAATGCTTCTTTCCAAGCAGTTTGATTTATTATTGCAGATGCTCTGATCATTAAATGTAAATAATCTGTGATTGTTAGTGTTACATTTATAGTAAATTTTTAGGGTTTTGACCAAAAGTGTTGCAGTGTGCTGCAGTCATGCAAGAACAGGTGGTGGGAGGTTTTGTAAGTTACATCATGGAACTAGTTTTGCTCAGAAAAAATCTATAATATACAAATATGTTTTACTTGTTGCTGGGTGCAGTGTCATATTAGCTCCCACTGTGACAGGATTTGAAAATAAAATCAAACAGCTGCAGAATTTTAATGAGGGAGAAGAGAAAAGTAAAATATGTTGTCACGTCCATCACGGGTGGTTTCTGCTGGTGGATTTGTGGATGTGACACATTAAATATCTGATATTTCCCAATTCTCTCAAGTGTGATCAGAATTATGGCAACAATGAAAAGTGAAGTATCTTATTAGAAAGCACCCTGATAGCTGCTGCTCATAATTTCACCAAACTGATTTGGAGTCAATAAACACAATAAGGAGTCTTTTTTTCCTGATTTCCACAGAAAACTGCTCGCTTCCTCCCCTCCATCTGCTGTCTGTCAGGGAAGAAATAATGCACTTACAAAGTCTGCCAGGTCTACATCTTAGCTGCATTTTTTTAGTGTGCAAAGCATTGTTGAAAAAAGTGAGATCCTTAAGTCTCAGGATCTCGTGGATGTTCATGGAGCAATGACCCACAGTTTGCGCTGGAGCAGTTTGCAGCCAGTTGTAAAGCAGCTAGGATGAGAAGTGGCACCTCTGAGTCTGAGGCCATGGTTCTGAGTCTGAAAAGTGGCATGCTAAATCAGGGTTGGGAATGAGTTGCTGGAGGATCTCAAGTGCCTCAGGGTTTTGTTCACAAGTGAGGGAAGAAGGGAGTGGAAGAGTGGCAGGCGGATTGGTGCAGTATCTGCAGTATTGCGGATGCTGTACTGGTCTAAGTATGAAAGTGAAGCTGTTGATTTACTGATCGATCTACATTCCCACCCTCATGTATGGCAACAACCTGTGGGTACTGAATGCCAGTGGCATGAATAACCTTCCTGTGTGGGGTGTTTGGGCTCTCCTTTAAAGATAAGGCGGGCGTCCTTTCGATTTTTAAAAGCACATGTGAAAAAGCAAAGTCCTAATAATGTTGTCCTGTAAGGGTCAGAATTGGACAAAACAATGATACGTGCCGTCACTGTAAACGAGCAGAAATACCGTTAAGGTCCTTTCACAGACACACTGGGCTTTCTTGGGCTTTAGAAAGTTACTTTTTGAAAGTCTGCCACAGTGCCTACGTGTCACACTGTGACAGCTTTGGAATAATATTGTGTGAATTACAGCCACTGTTTCCTGTGTGGATGCAGCCTGTTCGGTGTAACAGGATAAATCTTCTCCCGCCCAATGTGACTCGGTCAGCAGAGTTTGATTCAGGAGTTCCTCTTTTATTGTGTCTGGCCCTGGGCGGGGTGTTGTCATTGTAACATCCTTCCGTACGGGACCTGACGTCCATGATTCACCTAACCCTGCTGATATCAGCTCTGCTATGAGTCATCCACAGCTTTATTTGGTTAACTGCTAAGTTCAGTCATAAAAGTGCAAAATACTCAAAGATTTAATTAGATAAATATTAATTTGCTAATGCTTTTGTGATAAACTGTCAGAAGAGAAGAAAAACCAAGGTTCTCTTAACATTGTTCTGTTAATATTGCATTTTAAGTTGCACAGGTGGTCATTGTAGAATGTCTGCATGATTGTTATTTGGTTGCCTTAAAAAAACATCCTGAAAATCTGTGTTTGGATGTCTTTTTACCTATAAAGCATATTCACTTGTGAGACCAGCCCAAGTGTTTTAAAATAGTCCATTGGTGGACCCTATATGTCAAGCAAAGCTGAATAAGCTCTTAAATCCCAGCCAAAGACATAATATTGGTTTAGAAAACAACACTTAAATTTATTGCTTTTTATTGATATTTTTTTATGCACCTTCTTTTGTAGTTAACTGTTTTATTGTATTTTATTTTATTTTTTCCTTGAAAATAATCTGTTGATGGCAGGCTAGTTTTAGAAATGGTGCATAAACTGCATAAACAGATTATGTAACCTACCATTCCTGTGTAATATTTAAACATGGACTGAGCTTGAATTTAATTGGCTATTTGAGTTACACTTCACTTATTATCCATGGATTTGATGTTAATGTGGTATTTCAGAGCTTGTTATAATTGGCTGTGAGAAGCTGGACTGGTCAATCAGGATAAAGCACATCTAAATGCTAATGGCTTTTTCTTTGTCTTTCTTCCTCCATTAGATTCATGATTTGCATTGAAGTGGGGCTTAACCGGATATAACAAGGGTTCCAGAAAAATGTTTAATCCCATCTTTCCTTCTTTGAATGTATTTAGTAAACAACTAGGGTAGGGCCTTTATCACTCTGGTACTTTTTGTTAGCATTGTATAATTACAGAAGTACATAAATATGACCGGATAATTGGACTTGTGCTGATAACCAGAGTTTTAAATGTCAGCCTTTGTCATTTTACAGATTGAATGGTGTGGATTTTTCACCACTGATCTTTTTTTTTTTTAAGTGGGTTGTTTTTTTTAATAGGTGCCATTGTTTTTAGAGTTTATTTTACTTAAAACAGTAACTGTGTGGTTCAGTGCCAGTTTTCAGGTCTTTGGTTGTTTGCATTCAGTCCAGCATGAAGAGAATATTAAATAAGCCAATTTCAACAGGTGATTTAATATTGACTGAGGTGTCTTATTGAATGCTTATTTTGAAAATAAGTTTCAGTCACACCCCAAAGGCTGTGAACTGTGTATGTTCTTGGGTTTCTTGTATATTTTTATTTTTACTTGGTTTTGCCTTGAGGCTTTACTCTTTGATATTTTGTGGATTTCAGTCTAATTTCCAGCAGTGAAACATCAAATATTGACAGTTAAGAGGAAATCACTCACTGGCCTGATAACACATTTTCCATAGCCATCAGTCATCCCTCATTGTCATCAAATTTTATGTGAATATGTATCGGAAGAAGCCCTGCACATAGTAAAGTGGTTAGAACTGTTCCCTCACAGCAAAAAGGTCCTGGTAAAGTCCAGTCTGGGGCTTTTCTGTGTGGAGTTTGCATGTTTTCCCCGTTTTTCCTGCTTGGGTTCTTTCTGCACGCTCAGTCCAGAAACATGCATGAGGTTCAGTTAGTTGGTAAACCTAAATTGTGAATAGGTGTGAATGTGAGAGTGAATGGTTGTCTGTCTCTTGTGTTGGCCCCATGACAGATAGGCAACCTCTCCAGGGTGTACTCCACCACTCACCTTGTGAAGCTGGGATACCCCCCCCCCCCTCCTCCTTGCACACCTGAATTGGATAAGCAGAAGAAAATGGATGGATGGATGTATCACAAGAGCCACTGGTCACACTGATCATGTGTGAACTCTGCTGAATCACATTTTCCATCTGAGTAACAGTTCATAGGGTTTTGGATTTTGATTCAGTAACAACATCAGTGACTTCATTTTACTTAAGCTTGACTCAAACAGTCCATAATAATACAGAAATAACCTGTTTCAGTTCCCACTGCTTCTGCCCCTTGCCTTTCTGAGTCTTGTAGGACCATTTTGGGTTAGAAAACAGATCAGCTCCCTGTAGGATGGACTGAGGTAGTAGAGAAAGTTTGCCACCTAATGGAGAAATTGAAATACTGCTTTTCTGAATCATTCTCTCCCTCCCACAGATGATTATTTTTTGTTGTGTTTTTGCTTCTGCCTTTCTGCCTCATCCTACTCTTTGTTACCAGTGTTGCATGAATAAATCTAAATGCACAACTAACTGAATTAAGTTGAATGTATTCTTTTCTCTCCTGTTGTGTTTTTCAGGTCTGAGGTCCTCCACGTTTGAATTGTTTCAATCATTATTCATCTACAGATACTCACTGTAGTTTGGAGCTTCATGGAGGGATTTCCTGTCCACTGACCTAAAGGGCTGACTTACTGGACCCGCAGCCATGTCGGCCTGCAGCACCTTCACAGAGCACGTGTGGAAACCAGGCGAGTGCAAGAACTGCTTTAAACCAAAGAGTTTGCACTGTCTAGCTCAGAGTAGTGGAGGGAAGCCTCCTTCTGAGCAAAGACCTCAAACATCCCAGCAACAGAACCTTCCAGCTGCTGGTGCCAGAGCCAATCCTAACCATACCACCACCAACTCCCAGCGGACTGGCAGTGGATCTGCTCGCTCAGGACACTTCCGTCCACCTGTGGCCAAGAAGCCAACCATCGCTGTTAAGCCCACTATGATGCTGCCCTGCTCCTCTGCAGGACTTGATTCAGATGGCAATCTCCAGCAACCACCAAAGGTAATAGAGCAGGGGAAAACATCAGCCTTCACAGTCTGGAATCGCAATGGACTGAACCGCAAAAGACCTGGTGGGCCCAGCAACAACAATGAAGGAGAGGATGACAATGATGAGATTGAGGGTTATGGACCACTTAGCCCAAGGACACCTAGTGGAAATAACAACAACAGTGGATTGACAGATGTACTTAAAGAGATTGCTGGGTTGGGCCCTGGTTCTAGTCCCACGCAACTTTCTGGCTCAAAGGACTTGTTTTGGGGTCGGATCAGTAGTTCATACCGACGATCCTTAGAAAGAGGCATACCAGCTTCAAGCTGTCTGGCTATGGGAAGTAGTAGTGGTGGTGGTGGTGGAGTTGGGAGCACTGCTCAAAAACGGGTATCCCTGAGCGATAGTACCAAGATCATCAGCACAGAAGGTGGTCGCTTTTGTTATCCGGACTTTACAAGTGAAAGTGAAGATGAGGAGGATGAAGATGATGATGATGAGGAAGACACTGAAAGGGATGATGATGAAGAGCATGAGAGCTGGGATGAAAGCGATGAAGAGTTGGTAGCCATGGAAATCCGTATGCGAGGACAACCACGATTTGCTAATTTCCGTGCTGCCACATTGTCTCCCGTTCCCTTTGCTGCGGGGAAAAAGTGGAATACTGTGCCGCTTCGCAACCGCTCACTACAGCGAATTTGTGCGGTGGACTATGATGATAGCTATGATGAGATCTTAAATGGCTATCCTTCTGTGGATTCCAATGGAGGGCTGATTTCCTACGGACCTCACGATATGCTAGGCAGCGGCTTCCTGTCAAATTCTGAGTCTGCCACTTCTCCTGAATCATCGTCATCAATACCGGAGGATTCTCGAACAACATCCAGCAGTGGTAGCAGCGCTAACTGTGTCCTTCGAAATGGCTTGCATTCTCCCACATTTTGTAAGCCACCTATCACCTGCACTTCTCCTCCTAAGAAGGAATCTGTCAACAGGGCACTGAGTCCACTAAAGGTAGCTGAAACACACAAGGCTGTCCTGGCTATCAGATTAGAGGATCAGGATGGCAGAGAAGGGATGCCAATGCCCCAAGCGCTTCCTGGTCAGCCAGTCACTATAAGTTTTAGTCCCACAGAGGAGCAAGCTAAACCATACCGTGTAGTAAATTTGGAAAAGTCATTGATCTGTAAGCCTTACACTGTAGTAGATGTCTCAGCATCCATGGCCAATAAAGATGAACAGATTCCAGATTCTCAAAAACCCAAAAACCAATCGATGCCTTCAAGCCCTACGACATCTAGTAGCACTCCTTCAGCCCAGGCCGTAGCTCCAATGTCCCCAATATCTGTGTCTTCTCCTGTGATGCCAACATCACCTACTTCTTTTGCTCTGTCAGGTTTATCCCAAAAGAAGATTAGCAGCATACGTTACCAAGAAGTGTGGACATCAAGCACAAGCCCTCGCCAAAAAATACCTAAAATAGATTCAGGGGTTGGGAATAATCCTGTCCCTGCCCTAACCACTCAGCACTGCAGCCACAAGTCAGCTCCCACTTCTCCCATTGCTGGGCTATCTTCTTCTCGAACTGTACCTGTGAAATCCCCCAATTTATCAGAGATCAAATTTAACAGTTTCAATAATGCAGGCATGCCTCCTTTTCCCATTATTATCCGAGATGAGCCTGCTTATGCCCGCAGTGCCAAGAATGCTGTCAAGGTACCTATTGTTATTAATCCAAGTGCATATGATAACCTAGCTGTGTATAAGAGCTTTCTGGGACTCAGTGGGGAGCTACCACAGACAAAAGGGATGGGTAATAGGGTAGCCAGCCATACTTATGAAGAGATTGGATCATCTGAGAGTGTCCAGTCCGCCTCAACAGAGAAAACTCTCTCTGGTAGAGGAACATCAGAGCGAGCCTCCTTTGAAGAGACAAAGGTTCCACTTGAAGCAGTGTCAAAAGCACCAAATCTACAACCTAGAACCACTACAGACTCTTGCACTGTGACAAGCACTGTAATGGGCTCGACAAGTGGGGCATTCTCACCCACTATATCAACAAATTCTCCCGCCAATCCTGCCATTACTGCAAATGCAAATGTACCTGCAGCCAGCACTACTGCCAGTATTGTTACACACACTTATAAGACAGGTGGAGATGCTGCTTGCAATAAAGATGATAATACAAGCTTAGCTTTATCTTCTGGGACAGCTGTAAGCCATAGGGAGGAAGCCAGTGCTGTGTTTTCACAGATTGTGGCCTCCATCCAGCCTCCTCAATCTCCTCCGGAGTCCCCATCAGCACAAACCAAATCTTTTAATTCCGAGGAGCTATATGCCCTCCCACCTGATGCCATTAAGGAGACCCTTCTTCGGCCCAAGTCTCTCTTTTCCCCAACTGATGGCTGTCTTTCCAAGTCAAAGAAAGACACACCCTCAAAAGTTTTGTCTAAGTCTCAGAGTGCCTCTGCTGCTGCCCCACTCTCAAGCCCCCAGCCTGAGCCCACTGCCCCCTTCCCTCCTCCAAGATCTACATCCTCTCCTTATCATGCTTCTAACATACTCCAGAGACATTTTGGAAACTGGACCAAGAGCTCTGCCTCCAGTTCACCAGTGCGACCTGGCGAAGGTGAAGCGAGTCCTGGAGGGGAAGGGAGACGTAGTTTAGCAGAAAGCTCCAAACCTAAACGCTGGATCTCCTTCAAGAGCTTTTTTCGTAGGCGGAAAGACGAGGATGAGCAGAGGGAGAAGCTGGAGAGAGAGAAGGAGAAGGGCAAGCTTGTCGGGCTTGATGGAACTGTCATTCACATGCTTCCACCACCACCAGCTCAAAATCAGCACTGGTTCACTGAGGCAAAAGCAGAAGATCCCACCCAGAAACCAACCATTATCTTCACCTATAAACCAGACACTGGCAGTAGCCACGGCGATGAAGGAGAACTACGGGTAGAGGAGTGCAGAGAAACTACAATACTGAAACCTGACGGAAACAAAGATCCTAGGCCTTTGAGTCCAGGCAAAACAACATCCTCACCCAAGGCTGGAGGAGAAAATTGCAAGGATTTAAGGTATTTTAAAATTTTTGTTTAGTCTTCTGAAACCAGCAAATGCCCTAAAAAATGCAGTTATTTAATTGTAGTTTCGGTTTTCAATAAGAATACTGTCAGAACATGAAACATGTTCATGTTCAAACATGTTCATAAAATCTCACCACTAGATTTTAGGTTTGCAGATTGCAGTGTTGAGTTCTATTGTCTTACCCCTCTCAATTCAGCTGCATAATCCTACCTACGGAGCGTGCTGACAAACAGCTTTAAAACTTTGTCAAATGAGCCCGATACATGTCGATATGAGTCAGTGAAGCTCACTTCTGACCGATGACAGCAATACTGAGGTGAGTTGTGATGAATATCCTGACCCTTTCTGTCAGTCAGATCAGCTGTTTTTGCTGCTGTTAGGCACAGTTAGCTGCTGTTAGCCAGTGTTAATGAAACTTTCCTTGAAGTGGATCTGACATTGTTAGACCTTTACACATAGCAAATAATTGCATTTTCACATTGTATGAGAGTTTAAACTGTCGGAGGGAATGTGAATTTTTTTAGGACACTCAAGCCTAAAATTAGCTTGGATAATGTTAGCTTATAACATGCTGTCGTTGTTTAGCTGGCTTGTTGTCAGCTGTCTGGAAACGGGATGATCACATGTCACATTAAGTAACTGTGACAATATCAGGAATAAATAATCATGTTTATCGACAAGGATGATGTTTTATTCAGATGCTGGTGGTGTTGTCACTTCCCTTCATGTTTTCACTTCTTTCATGAAGGAGACCCCTTCTCCGATGATAAACCATATGTGTGATCCTTCATATCTTCAATCTGAAGGTGCAGACAGAAATAACAATTTGCCTGCAAGCTCTCTACTCCTCCACCTTTAGCTTACTACCTATGTGACTGATCTCTAACCACATACATAAAACGCAATTAGGCAAAACAACAATGTCCATCTAGGCTACTGTATTTGAAATAGCAGGTCAACATGACATTTTCCCCTCCTGTGTGTTTTTAATGGATTCATTTATAAGTTTATGAGAATGCATCAGTTTGTTGGAGGATGTAATTACAACTAATCACTGTATATTTATGAGTGCAATATCCTTTTCTTGTACTAAATAACCTAAAAAAAACCTACTAATTGTACCTTTTTAACTTTCAGCTAAACTAAACCTTGAGTTGAATTGTGTTGCAAACAACTGCTATAAAATATGTGATCATTTCAAAACCAAAAACTAATACAGTTGTGGTATACAGTATATTCTTTACTTAAAGTACAAAAACAGAAATAATACCAGCATTGTGGGGGTTATGACAGAATGTGGGGTTTTTTAATATAGGATAACAATATAGGATAAATTGTTCCACTAAAAAACAAACAGATTTCAACCCTTGGGACATATTAAAAGCAAAATTAATATTTTTTACCCAATTAGTTGTAGATGTCCATTTTTGTGTAAGACTCAGAGTAGAACTAGTAAGAATCTATCACTCATGTTCACACATGTTTTTCCTCTGTTACCTCCAGCGAATTAATGAATGATTTTGCAGTGCTATGCCAGTATTACCATTACCTACACAGGTTTCCTTCATTGTACTCATGGGAGCCAGCTTAATATGAACATGCTCAGCCTTTATCAGCTGCTGCTTCAAGTGTCATAGTTGCTACTCTCCCCGTCATACATATCAGTCATCACAGATTTGAGAGGTATTTGATCTCAATCGGGCATGTCTACTTTCCTACTTACCCAGCCCACTGTGGTGTGATCTCTTCTGTAATATCCTCTATTACCTGCACAGCAGGCTTTGCGCACAGTGCATTCTTTAAGAGTAGCCCTCCGTTTCCTGCAAGTCGTTCAATAACACATTTATTAAACCCAACTTTAGACTGAGTTTTCCCTGCAGCTAGTCAAAGCTGCGGCTGTATCAAAGCTTCAACCACATTCATATGCACTCTTTCACACTAATTAGCCCTCGCAGTGTAGGTGCGGTGTTCTTGTATTCTAATTTCACAATTTTTCTTTGACCTGCCATTGCCCTCAGTATATCTTGAGGCACTTTTCCTGCAGTGTGACTAATGGTGCTGAAAAATGATAACCCAGATATTATCAGATGCATCATATGTTCTGCACTAAACTGTGAGCTTGTTTGTGACTCAGAATTGAAGCATTGTATAATTTTACATTTAATGTAGGGATGGTAAATAGTCAAATCAGCTAAATGTGGCTTGGACTTTGGAGATATTAAAAAGCAATTATGTCAAAGTTTCATATTTCTTTACTATTTGTTGACAGATAGAAAATGAAAATGCTTTTGAGTTTGAAGTTCACCAGCTACAGTGATTTGTCTATGATTGGTTTTTCTTTCTTTTTTTTAACCTATCAAACACCATATATTAGAAAATATTTTATAAAAATGTTTTGTAATATATTAGAAAATACTCTTGAATTGATTTGAATGACCTCCTTGCTTCCCAAGGTTGCTTTCTTCTGTGTTTAAATACTGAGTAAAAAAAAGCACATTAAAATTATTTTGCATAATTGGACCTGCTACCAAAGGGTCCATAGGGCTCTATGGTGGCTGAGATAGGGTCCAGAGAATGGATGGATAATTGGATTGGACCTTTTACTGGAGACTTACTGACAACAGCACCGTTCCCTCTCCTGTTTCATGTACTGTAACCCACAGCTACCCACATTATTAGGAATAACTTTCCATAAGTGTTACTGAAGATGCATCACATCTAGACACAGTTTATATCTTTTTCTCACCTTATCTCTCGCCTCCTGCTTAGTCCCTTTATATCTGTGCCACCCTCATATTGTCCATGTCCTGTTTTGTTTTTCTTTTCCTCCAAGAAAAGAAAATGTTTTCCCACCTTTTCTCTGTTTAGTGTAGTTTTTCACTCCTCTTCTATGCTTTCCTTTCAAAAATCTTCTCTTTCGAGCCCGAAGCACTGTGAACTCCTAAATATTTCACTCCTCCATCTTGTCAAAAGCTCAGCCCCATTCTGTCTCTTTTCTTTCTGCTGCTCAAGCTCCTATCTCTCGCCTAACCTTATAACAACATGTGCAAGAATCAAATGTGCACTGCTTCTGATAATATTATTGCACGTCTGCTGAGTGCTTTACAGCAGTGGGCTATATTGGGGTGTGCTCTATATACCCACTGAGAGCACCCAGTACATGTTGCCAATACCTACTAGTAATTAGTCCAAGCAAAGCTTGCACAGAGCACAAAGGATTACTCAAATGAAGTGAGAAGGCTTTCCATTCCTGCTCCCTACAATGAGTGTCCAGATAATAAGTCCAGAAATCCAGACGATATGCTTATTATTACAGTACAGTGCAAAGGTTTTGAGCTATCCCCATTTCTTTATATTTTGGTAGGAAAATGGAAAATAACTGCAGTGTTTTATTGAAACGGTCATGGCAATACAATATATAAGGCAAAAATAATTCTAACAAGTTTGAAAGTCAGTATTTGGTACTTATTTAAGTGGTGTAATGCACACACCTTGTAAAACACACTCGTTTAACCTCGACTCAGAGTTCCTGTAAAAGCATCTGTGTTAAGCTAGCATGATATAAATCCTAACACTAACTAGCCTAACCTTCAGAAGCTTCTCACCTTTGGTCTAACCGTTCTTCACACCTGACATTGATAAGCAGTTGTTTGGGACCTCGCTGTTAAGTTGTCAATTAGTAACTAAACTACTACATTTCTTCACTTGGCGTGTTGGTGGTAGGGTGCTGTGTTTTTCAAGGAAAAAGCAGCTAAATATTTGTCCCTAGCGCCTGAGATTACTTTCATGTTGTGAAAATGTGTAAAACAAATAAATAAAAAATGTGTCACCCTGTTTTAGTGACAGATAATAAAAGGATGGGAAGTATTCATAAAGATCCCAGTTCAATTATATTGTTTAAAAGATTTCTTCTGCAGGGTAATAGATTTAAGTCTTGTATACAGACACCCAACACCAAATTTAATGTTTGGTTTTAAAAACAGCAACCTTTGCGACTAATCACTTACTAATTACTTACCTAGAAACACAACACCCATTTGACAGAAAAGGTGTAACATGTTTTTGTAGTCTTCTTATAAACCTATACAACACATACACAAACTCACATATTATGAACCAGTTCCAGAGTTCATTTTAACAGCTTTCATATTGCTTGGCAGATGAGGGGTTAAGCCTGGAAGGGTTTTGAATCAGTTTTATTGGTGAACAGTGGGTGTGCTCTTCAGCTTTGGCAAACACACATTACCTTAGACAGGTAACAGCGTTCAAAGAGGAAGCAGCAGGAGAGAGAACGAGGAAAGAACACATGCAGAAAAAGACTTTCTTTATTCTTCTCAACAGCGCGGTTGCTGTACCTAGAATGTGATTCCATCTACACGTTTGTGTTCAGGGTTTCTAGATGGGAAGCTGTGTGAGCCAGTACAGCGGGTAAGAACTTTAAACTCTCTTCTGCCGCACACCTTTGTAACCTACGACCAGCCTGGTCATTTGAAGTCACATTGAACAGCGGGAAGAGAGGTTTGAATTTAATTTGATTTGCATTTTGGATGAGGCGTTATTCTTCTCTCGCAGCAGAGGAGTGAAAATGCACCCAGGCAGTTTTGCGATGTCTAAACAAGTCAGGTCCTGACCACTGGAACATGTAGCAGCCATAAAGGTATTTGTATCAAGGCCTCTCAAAGTTTACCCTGGATGTTTTGTTCATACGGGATTTTGAAGTGGAGATTGGGCTCTTTGTGATTTAGTGCTCTTTTGAGCAGCATTATAGCTAGTTGTTAGCTAATAATAGACCGGATCTGAGTAAAATCAGTGTCAGCTTTGTGCAAAGCAAAAAACGGGGAAGAATAAGGATACGCTGGCGTGTACAGGCAGAACAGAAGATCTTTTGCCTCGACAATGTTCTATAAGCTGTCTTGGCTTACTCCGTTTTCAGGGTGCAGTTTTGATTGCTTCATCTTTTCACAGTTTACTTACTTTTTGATTCCTTGTTAGCCGACAACATTGTGTTATGTTTTTATTTTAACTGTCAGCCGCTGGTAAGTGCAGAAGTAATGCACGATAGTACCTTGGGAACTATCGATCAACTCTTAAAAGAGACATGGACGGTTTATAGCCTTAAGACACAGCTGAGACAGATCATAAATGTGTCACGTCTGATGTTTTCCTCAACACAGCGCTCCAGGGTGGAGACAGAAACTCGAGCCGCTAGGTGTTGTCTTGATGACTCTTTTCTTTCATGTAACGGTCAGATGTTGCAATAGTTTTCCAAATGAACAATGAGTCTGCACCAAAACACAAGGGGAATGGCAATTAGAAAGAAACAGATTAACGTCCAGTGCATTTGGCTGTAGCGAGATGCAAGATAACACAGCATGCCATTCTGTTAGGAAATCATGTAATAGTTTAATTCCTTTTTTCCCCTCAAAATATCAAATATTTTTAATGTTAAGACGATAAACAAGGTGGTTGATCTTGGACTGCCATGGAAATTTTGTTTTATATGTTTTTTTAGACCTAAAATGTAATTGATCAGCCCGGTGAAAAGCGTGTCAGACTTTGCTTCACTCATTTCCTTTTTTTGTTCTTCTTACCCATTTCATGAAAGCATTTAACTTTTACAATTATTACTGTCTTCTTTGAAATGAAACCTTTGTTTTTATCTTGATTTTTTTTTTTACATTTATTAAATATAAAACTACTTGGTGTGGTTTTGTGTAATTTAAAGCTAATTTATTATTCCTGTCACACATGGGCCTTAAGTCATGCTATACTTTCGCACACACAAAGAATATGAGTAACTGTGAGCAGCTGTGAGTAAGTGGCTGGCTAGTTGTTGACAGAATAATTTCAACTTGTTCTCTTGAAGTTTGTTTTAGTTTCAGGAAAAAGTGTCCTACAGTGTATCAAGCAGCTCAAATATCTTGATGAGCTTTGTCCCATGAGCTGTACTTTAGGGACTTTTGCTCATGATCACACAAATCATTAGTCATGCCAGTGTGCAATCAACATTACAGTTAAAGGAAATGACACATCTGATTTAGCATAATACAAACATTACTGCCAGCCGGTCCCACCCGTGACATTGCCTGCAGCTGTGAAAACAAGTGTGAACTTTTCATGACCTTTAAAGTTTTTTTTAAATAGTCTTTGACAATGAATCTTTTTCATGCATTACATTTAAACTCAAGATAAAATTTGACATATATCCCCACCACCATAATATCTAAAATGCAAAGCATTGTACAAGCCCTGTTCTCTGCATGGTTATTGCAGTTGTTCTCCTACTGCTTTTGACAGGGGCACGAAAAAGTGTCATAAACTTCCTGTTTGGGTTGGTTGCTGATCTACTTTATAGATATAGCTGACGTACTGATTTTGGCTGTAGTGAAACTAATTATTTCAATGTCCACTACTACCCCCCCACCCCCACCCCCACCCCCCGCACTTAAAAAAAAGCCGTTATTCCTCTTCCTCTCTTGTAAAGTAATAAATACGATGATAGTATGTCAAGCAGCTGTAAATATTTGACACTGTAATTTCCAATCAGAGGAAGGAAAACTATTGCTACTCATTAATCTATTAATTGGTTAGTACTAAAAGTCCTTTTCACTCTAGAGTTCATGAAGCTTTAAATAAAACATTTTAATTCATTCAAATGGTTTCTGGTTTCTGTCTGCTATGCCAGAAAAGGCAATACTGTCCGTAGTACCCAGTACTGTGTTGTTATTTACTTAAGAAGACACATACACGGCACATTGCCTGTACAACTTGCATCTTTGTCAACAACATGCACTAGGGTGCTTCCAAATATGCTTTGGTGAGTGGAGTTATCACAGTTATTACACAATATGGGTGAATTTCAGATGTGGCCCAGAATTCTCACACCCGCAATTCAATGGGGTTAGCACATGATGAAGTCATTGTCTGGTGTTGTAATGAAGACTATTACATAGTGTGAAAGCACACAGCAACACACCATTACAAGGAAAGCTGTTGTGCTCAAAGATACAGTAATTTCTTTTGAATGAATAAAACAAAATGTTGTGCCAAGAAATATACTTTGATTAGTGTGTAAATAAGCCTTCCAACAAATCCATACATTGTTATAAACTTAAAATGAATCCATTAAAAGTACAAGTGTGATAGATGGAGATCGTTGTTAAACCTGATCGTGTTTTGTGTATGTGGCAAGAGCCCAGCCACTTCCCCAGTAAGGATTACAAGTGAATTTTCATTTACAAATCGCAAAAAGCATTTGAACAGGTGCATTTTTATCATCTCTTTCTCATTATGTCACCACTTTCTCTTCTTCCTCCCTCAAGCTTCATATGCTTCAGTCCGAGTACTACGATGTTAGATCCACTTCAAAGACAGTAACACAGTTTCACTAACAGCAGCAGGAACAGCAGTGGTTACTGACAGAAAAGTTCAGGATATCCTCAGCAGCTCACCTCAGTATCACTGTGATCGGTCAGAAGTGAGCTTCACTGACTCATCCACTCACATCTGAATTTTACAGCCTCCTTGAGAGTAAATAGATGAGGATACATATTGACAGCAGAGGTAAACAGCAACCTGACAGCCTATACTCACTGGAGATGAACGGCACTCAGAGTTGTTTTTCCTGTAACAGAAAAACAAAATATAACAAAAATATATAACAAAACTCAGTCAACTGCAAACTGCAATCTACTGACATTTAGTGGTGAGAGTTCGCACACCGTATCTTTAAAGTTCTTGAGCTTGAGCGTTACCTTTTTTTGCAATTCTTTAGTCTTACCTTTTTTACCTTTTACCATAACTCTTTGTGGAATTTGCATGTTTTTCCTGTGCCTGCGTGAGTTTCCTTCTGTTTCCTTCGACAGGTTAATTGGTGTTAAATGACCTGTAAGTGTTGATGTGAGAGTGCGTACTTGTCTCTCCCTGTGTGCCTGATGAACCAAAGGCCTGTCCAGGGTATAACTCGCTTCTAGCTCCATGTCAGCTGGGATATGTTCCAGAAAGTTGTTTTTTTTTTAATTGAAGGATGGATTCATTAGCGTATTTTTCAACACATTCAAATGTTACAGTCCTAGTGAAGACATGTTTAAAGAAAAAAAGCTAAAAAAAAAAAATTAATAATAATAAAAAAGGTTAATAATGGCATTTATATCTGCGAAATATTCTGATCTCACCTCCTTAAACACCTCAAATCAGAGCCACCTACTGATGAATGGTTCTTCAAAACATGTCATCATACTGTGCTGTGACTTGCTTTGTCTTTTTCTTACACCTTCCCTCAGGCGCCGTATGTGTAGTTGCATATAAAACGCATCAAGCTTCAAAAGCCTCCCACTGACAGCTGCACTGGCTCCAATTTATCTCTTGCTGAGGAAGATGAAGTGTGCTGATAGAGTGAGGCACATACTGATATCAGAGATGGAAAAAAAGACTGACCAGATAAAACCAATGTCGTATGTGTTTTTGTTTATATCCTGAGATGTTAGATACAGTTTCATAGACGGAATGAATGACAGATTAAAGTCCCTATCATAAGCAACTCATTCATCATTCTGCAGCACTAGTGTCTTTCCAATATGAGCCTTCTATTATTATATTGCTTCTTTTATGAGTTGTTTTGCTGATATTTCTTTGAAGAGCAAAAGCTTGTCATGAAAAGATTAATAAAAGTCGAGGCAGTCTGGCAACAGGATCAGATCAGCCGCCACACCCATCAACATATTGATGTCTCAACCCTTTAGTACTCAGTAGGAGTTAATATAGTCATGCTATCAGTACTCTGTAATACAGCTTTATTAGTGCAGCCAATATCTCGCCTGATTTAAGCTATTTTCTGATATATTGTTGGTGTATTGATATAATTATTTGTAACTGTCGATAAATAAAAATGTAAAAAGTAAAGAGGGAGAAACGCCCTTCAGCCAGTGTTAATGTTGCTTTGCTCGTCCTGCAGAGGGCGCTCTGTAGCTTCCCTGTTGGCAACATGTGTGTTCAGAACACCCCAAACACAACCAGCTGATTCAAACAGAGTGATCCTCCACTTGTTGTGACAGTAAAACTAATTTTAAGATTTTTTTTGTTTTAAACTTCATCATCGTATTTATTCTGGTATTTTTATAACACAGAGTTATAACTGAGTACACCTCCATCTCAGGACTTTGGGCTCCATTTTGATCCGCTGTTACAGCAAAATGTGAAAGAACCAGAGTGCGCCATGAGCTCACACTTACAGACTTACAAGGTTAAAACAATACCAGCTACTCTGTCGAGTCTGGCAATGGAAGCACTGGGAAAAATACTGTCAGCAAGTGCAGTCACGTGTAGGCAGACCAGTAGATGAAGAAACTAAACCATGCCTCTCTCTGTCATGTGCAGCCAGGTACCAGTCGGTGCCAGCGCCAGGGATCGGGAGCTGCCCAGCGCCACCTCCTTGCCTGCCAAAGTGAATCTGGGGCTGGTGCTTGGGGAGGCCGCGGAGGGCCATGCCAACCAGGTTGCTAGTACAGCCGCGGCCAGTGAGGGCAACGCCAGCCTGGGAGAGCCTGAGGACGACGGGATTCACTCTCATTATTCTCACTCTCCTGCCTCCAGCCAGTGCAGTGCCACCTACAGCAATCTGGGTAAGAGTGAAATATGAAAGATGGATAGAGAAGGATTTTTGTTTTGTTTTTTTAAACTCATGTTTATATTAGTGCTGGAGAAACCTGAAATTTAAGATGATGCCTTCTGTGGTGCGTAGGCTTAGTCAGGATGATTGAATTGTCTACATAAGTAGGTTTTGACTGTGTGTGACAGATTTTTCTGCCTGATGTCTTAAGACACATCCATCTATTGCATTCTTCAACTGATTTTTATTCTGGATTTGTCACATCACAATGCTCACAAAAACTGAAGATAACGTAATGAGGAAAGCTAATCTGCAAATAAAATATGGATTATACACCAAAATTATTGAATTCAACATTGTTTGCACTAATTAGTATATAAAAAAAATACAAAAACAGGAAAGTATGACATGTCAGTGTATAAGACCCTCCTTTGCTGTCGCTGTAAGCTTGCCAAACCGGTGAACTTGGGTTTTTTGGCAGTTTTGGCAGTTCTTTCACTCCTGAGTGGCTGATTTTACTTTCTTCCTGTATCAGCACACTTTCTCATGTGACGGGGCATAATTTATTCTCTGCAAAAACAGCTGGAGCCCGAAATCTCGACACATCTTTTCACACACAGCCTGCAGCTCGGTGCCTAAAATAACATATTACAAAAAAAATGCTTGTTTTTTTTCGTTGGAGGTGGGAGAATCTTTGCCCTGGGGTTATTGATCCTACTCATGAAGCTGGTTCAGTTCCTGATGGTGATCAAAACTGAGAACCCTGGGGACCTGCATAAATCCCATTTTAATCACAATCCTCCTCTTTGTTTTCTTTTCTCATATCCTGTGTCTCTGTCTTGAAACTATATCATGACTGACTGATAAGATTGTAATAGGGCTACCTGCCTTGCTGCTTTCACACAGTATAAGAGCATAGACTACATGGCTAACCACAGTACTGTTAATAGGATAAATATTGTGGGGAGTTTTTATGTTTTCTTTTTTAAATCACATGTCTTGTAGCCAAGAAACGGCATAAAAATATCTCTGGATATTTTTTTCTCTGAAAATTGTCCCATTTCCTAGAAACAGCAGGACATCGGTAAACAATTGGGAGGCACAAGAACAAATTCTTTGAGGCCTTGATGTTCTTTTCACAGAAAAAAAATTCAGCCAGCACATTGCAGATTTGCTCCCTGATACTTAAAAAAATAAAGTTATTCTGCATGAACAAGACAACATACATTCACTTAGGTACTCCTTTCTAGTACTGTTTTGAACTTTTACCTCCAGAACTGCTTTAATTCTTGGTAGCATAGATTCCATTTTTAAATCCATATTGACTTGAAGCATCACACAGTTGCTGCAGACTGCCTGTGGACGCCACAGTGTAATGAACTCACTGTGATATTCAAGATAGCAGTTTGAGATTTGTGCCGTGGAGCATTATCCTGCTGGAAGAAGCCATCAGAGGATGGGCACACTGTGGGCATAAACCCTTTAATGCCCGAACCATGAAATAAGTGCCAGAAAATGTAAAAAAAAAATTGAAATGTTAAAAGTATAGTATAAGTTTAAATAAAAGTATAAGTTTATCATAAAAGAAAAGAATATTAAATACAATTTTTTTATTTTTTTTTTATTTTGACATATTAGATACTCACACTCTGTGCATCAGAAATGGTCGTTCTTGATCAGCACCAGCAATTCTCAGGTTGGCTGTGTCATTTAAACGATGCTGTTGGTATTAAGGACCCCAGAATCTTCCAAGGAAAAATATCCCCCAGCCTGAGCTATTGTATCAGTGGTTCAGACTGAATCCCTTCTTTCAAGCTGTAATGTTTCAGAATTTTGACCATCTGAATGCTGCAGTAGAAATTCAGACCATGCAACACTTTTCCAAACTTCTGTTGCTCAATTTTGGTGAGCCTGTGTGAATTGTAGCGTCAGTTTGTTGTTCTTGGCAGACAGGAGTGGTACTCGGTGTGGTCTTCTGCTGCTGTAGATTCAGAGATGCTCTTCTGTGTAGCTTGGTTGTAACAAGCAGCTGTTTGAGTTAATTTTGCCTTCCTGTCACCTCGAAGCAGCCTGGCCATTCTTCTGTGACCTCAGAAGGTTCTCTGTGAACCACAGAGATGCTTGTGTGGGAAAATCCCACGACATCAACCATCTTTGAGGTTCTCAGGACTGTTTGCTCCATTCTGTTGCTTAGTTTAAACTTCACCAGGTCATCTTGACCCTGTCTGCATGCCTAAATGTACTGAGTTGCTGCTATGTGATTGGCTGATATCTGTGTTAACAGGAAGTTGAATAGGTTCTTTGTCCATCACATTCCTGTAACTCCATGATAATAAAGTGTCTTGCTGATGGACAGGTTTCATTTCAACTTTGCTAGCTGCTCCGCTTTACAGGTTTTCTCTCACTTTGACAATAAGCACATACAGCCCAGCTTCTATAACAGAGAGGTAGGCACAGCTGTCGAGTACTGTCGGGGCACTTAACACACGAAGCTCTCTGTGTGGGAAACGGATCTCTCCGTGATCAAGTGGCATGTGAGAGAACAAGAAATAGAAACACAAAGCGAAAGGGTTAGAGAGTGTGGGTTTGCAGAGCAGCTGTGCAACTGAGGTGCCTCGCTGCGTCGTCGCACATGTGGACGTGTGATGTTTAAGAGAATTAAACTATACAACTTCCTGTTTAAGGATTCAGCAGTGACAAAATATTTGTGTTGCTCTGGCACTGTTGTACTAATTAGGCCTTTTTTTTCCTCTCTTTTCAGAAGGCATGTGCAAACTGGGAATGCAGCATTTGCACGGGTTTGTTTGTGAAGCTTGAAATGCACACGGGCCCTGTGGATGGGTTGTGTTAAAAGCTCCCTGGATGACGCACGCAGCGAGCTGCCTGCAGCCTAATTTAACTTTGCTGCATACTGCTAATGAGGGGCTAGATAGAAGTTTGTGTATCCGTGTTGTCAAACATCGCACAGAACAGCGTGTCGTTTCTGTTTGGGAGGAGGAGGTGTGTGGCCTTCCACACACTGAGACACACACAAACAAGTGTTGACCTAAGACACACAGCCGCTCAGTGTAACGCCTGCTTTGAGTTTCCTGTTTTTCCTGCTGTTACCGTAGCATCGCTTTGCTTTTCACTACTGTGGGCTACATTTGCTGTTCACACGTTTCTTTTTTTTGTGAGGAATCAGGTTCACTTTTTAAATGAAAGTGTCTCTCTCTTGCGTGCTCTCGCTCTCTCACTCACTCACTGTCATGTAGTATAGTCTCGCTCGGGTTTTAATCAGAGCATCAGGCGGTAGGAGGCAGAGTGCTCGCTGCCTTTAAGTGAGAAATCTCCATTATTGGTGGGAGCGCTGAGCCTGTCTGTTGGCACCGGCGACTCCTCACAGACTCTCAGGGATGGATGCAGAGAACAGCGTTTTATTCTGCCTCCGGGCGCTGCTGCTGCTGTAACTGCACCACGTTTCTCTAAAAACTTTGAGGCGTTAGTGGAATTGAGGTAAGCTTGTTTCGCTCGTTTTCCTCAGTGTTTATCTCTGTCATATATTTATTTTTCTCTGTTCATCAGCCCCCTCGCCTATTTATTTATTTATTTATTTATTTATTTATTTATTATTTTGAAATTCTCCCCCCACCCCAACCACCACTTCTACCACCTCTAACCGCCTACTCCACCGCTCTCACTCCATTCCACCCCCCCGGTCCTCTTTATTCTACTTTATTCTACCCACCTCCTCCATCCATCGCTTGCCTCTTGTTAACGTGTCAGAGTTAGTTCGGAGGCAGCTGAGCAGCAATCGCTCTGCTATGGCAACAAGTTCCCTCAACCAGTCAGAATAAAATGTTGACAAATGCTGTTCCCTGGAAATTTGACTGCATGGCTCTGACATGATATTTTAAGAACAACGGTTGGATCAGTCGCTGCATTTGTGAGTTTTCACATTATATTACAAATATTAACTGTTAGCTTTATTGCTCTAATTTGCGTGTATATATTTATCACTTGTTGAGCTGTTTTCAGACTGATTGTTGACAGTGTGATGTGATGCAGCAGAGACTCTGAACTGACATCTGCTGGTACTCAGATTTGGACTGAGAGCAGTAACAGAGCAGTTGGCTCAGACACATCAGGTTCTTCATGTTGCTGTAAAAGAAGTTTAGTTTAACAGCAGTGGACTTTAAATGATTAAAAATCAACTTTGTAGTCATGTTTGTGCACAGCTTTTTTCTGTTCCCCCTTTTTTTCAAATTGTGGTTTTGCTTCAAGCATGCTGTTGAGCACCGTCACAGGCCTTGGTTTAATTGAATTGCAATGCACAAATAACTATTTACCCTGTTCCTTTACAGTAGGTGTACGACATTCTGGGATTTAGAGTTGCTACTTTGCTAATAGCTGCAAACATTAACTGTGTCATAAATAACAGTGTGTTCTTTATTGTTTTTATGTAGTTTTAAAGATTTATTTGCTTAATCATACACATGCAAAAAAAAAAAAAAATCCCAGTCTTATGTAATTGAGTTAAGTCACAGCCACACTGCAATAAAAGATCCCTACGACTGGAAGTGGGAGACGGCTGCTTTCTTGGATGGATTACTGCAGATTGGTGGAGGAACACATTTAATATATTCGTTCCACGGAGGATTACCAAGACTCATTTACTTCATCCTGACTGCTCTATCTTAAGGCTTTTCCTGCATTCTTAGGATGATGTCAGCATGACTTGCACATGAGGTGTCGCCCATACTTTTTAACGATGTATAATCAGTAGTATTTGTGCTGCACAAAGAGGAATGATTTGTTCACGAACATGCATTTGCCTCAGGGACGGTCAAAGTAATTTGGTAGAAGGAGGTGACTTTGAAAGACATGAACTCAGATCTCCCTGGTGAGTTAAAGCCGCGACGTTGAGTTATCTGTAACCCTACGTGCACACTTTGTTAGAAAAACCAGGGAGCTTTGTTCCCATCATGCAAACAGCACGACCCCTGCCGCCTTTTCCTTTTATCACACTTGCCTCTGACCCGTGTGCCTCGGTGGTCATTAACCCCACAGAACGTTGAGGGAATCCAATCAGTCTCCCAACCTTCTGGATTCTTCCTTCCACCATCCAAGCAAAAAAATAAGGTCACATCAAGCCACTTCTAAATTTGCTCTCCATGCTGCGTCTTTAAGCCTCACTACAGAACAGGACTGCAGATTGAGTCAGGCAGCTGGATGGTTGGAGAAACAGCTTGTGGCCTCAGGGCCACCAGCTCTTCCACACACTGAGACACTGTCGCACACATCATCATGTCATCCTTTTGTCCTCAAGAGACGCAACAAGCTAGTGGTTCTCTGGAAACGCCAGAGAGCAAAGGGCAAGCCCTAGCTGTAAGGGTGTGTCGTTGTTTTTGTGGCGAGGGATTTTTCGTTAGTTTTATCGAATTGCAGCTTTTGTGTCGTTTTATTTTTTTCATGTATCCTTTACTGATATCTGGGTCTTTAAGTTGTTTTTTTCCCATGGCAAAGATTCCCCACCTCCCTTCCAAACCAAAACAACTTGAGAGCGATGTTTCTGTTGGTGTCTTAACTGATCAGAGTGTGGAGTTAAAAAAACAACAACACAGAAATGGTGTTGACAAACTATCGAATGTATTTGGATGAGTATTTAAAGGTATACATATACGTGAAATATTGAATCTGTGCAAATGCTTTCATTGACTGATTAGATTTTGGTTATAAAATTTCTGTCTGCAGGTTATTTAAGGTAATAACTGTGCTGTCAAATCATTGTTGTGGAGTTAACGGGCTAATTTTTTCATATAAAGTCTGTTGTATACTAACATTAGATTATTGTGTGAATTTAATTCAAGGAAATTGAAGGAGCTGTTCTTCCTGCTTATTGAACTGGATATCATTACGTCCTCCGTTCAATTTGAAGGGTCCCAACAGTCTTTTAGTTTCACTGGATCTTTTTTATGCAGTATGAATGTTTTCTGTTTTCTTTCCTTCAGGTAAATCTCGAGCCAGCATGATTCCACTTAAACAGCCAAGAAACATGAAAGCATCCAATGACACACTGGCCTCCATCGAAATCGAAGGCCTCGCTGAGCAGCTAGCCCCTAAAGCTACACCACCGCCATTACCCAAAAAAGCAGTTCCTCGTTCCAGTACTGAACCCATCCTGGGAGGCAAAGAGCCAGTGGGAGGCCTCAGGCCTCGAGCTGAAGCTAAACCGGGGGGCACCAACCTTAGTGTAGCCAACCCTCTTTATGACTTGGACTCCACCTGGGAAACAGCTAGTCAGAGCTCCTCTCTGAGCTCCGAACCACATCGAGGCCACGACCATGAGAGCGGTGACTCCTTAGAGAGGTCATCAGCTGCCACAGCTACCAACAAGGCCCGCATGACCAATAGCGTGTCCTCTCTGGTCCCTCAGCCTTCACCTGCTGCATCCAGCGCAACCCCCGGCAAAGAGAAGAGAGTCTACCCAAGTTCAGAATCCCTGGCTGGAAGGGGTCGGACAGCGGGTCGCGGAGCTGCCGGAGGCGGTGCAGCCTCCAAACCCCAGAGACCTGCTCTTTACAGGGGGTTGGACAGCTGGGATGAGGTGGTGGGGAGGATCCGCGGGCTCCACACAGACACTCTACGGAAACTGGCAGCAAAATGCGAGGACCGTTTCATGGCTGGCCAGAAAGATCATTTGAGGTTTGGCACTGAAAGCTGGTCCCACTTCAGGCTGACCACTGGGAAACCCTGCTGTGAGGCGGGGGACGCCGTTTACTACACTGCATCTTATGCCAAGGACCCACTGGTCAATTATGCCATCAAGGTGAGATTCTTTCTTTTAGTTTGGTGTTAAATGAATACAGCTTCTTTTGTGTTACATATTCTGTTGAATATTTAAACCCTAAAACCTCGAAAGAACCTTAAACACTGACTTGTAGGAAAGAAGAGAAAAACAAGGTTTGTCCTATTTTACAGTCAAAGCTGTTTCCCCCCCCAAAAGAAGTGATGTTTTCTGATCTCAGTAAAATATTTCAGCATCTCTTTGTTCAGCTTGTTCTTAGTTTTCTCTTAATTAGTGTGTTTATTTGTTGTGGGGGATTGGTTTGAATTCTTGCTACATCAAAAGTATTGTAGATATTTTTCTCTGGTAGCTGCTGTCTTTGCAGTAGATTCATAAAATCCTTGTGCTTATGCCGACGAATCTCCTCCCCTCTTTTCCTGAAGTGCTGTGAAATATTGGCACTTAAACTTTGATCCCTTAGGGCATGACCTTGTGCAATAAAAACGAGCGTTGTTGTGTTTGTTTGTTTTCTTCGCCTCTGTGCGATTGTGCGAGAGGAGCAGCTTTGTCTTCAGTGTGTATGGAGATGCATGTGGTGGTTTGAGGGCACAGCTTGCCGAAAGAGTTCTGACGCTAAACACAAAGCAGATATGGATGAAGGTTAAATTATTCACAGGATATGAAACACTGTGCGCCACACCACTTCAAAGCCTTGCCTTCGTATTAGCAGCAGGCTTAAGAGCAACTCTTGTTTTTTTTAAAGACGCTCATCTATAAATAAGGCAACCAGAAGCAGTAGAAACAAGCCCCAACTTCCCAATTAAACCTTCCCCAACTCTGTCTGAATGCAGCCCAGCTATGCCCCTGCCTTCCTTTAACCCTTTATGTGCAGATGACGCATCTGAACTTTCATATTTTACTTCTGTGCTAATTACTCACTTTAGCTCTCCAAAGAATTCAGTGAGCACCTCACTGTGCTTTAAAGCTCTACCGTATCACTGAAGAGTCGACATTAAGGAGACAAGAGGTGGTAATAAAAGCAGTGAGTTTCTGCTAATTTGCAGGATTGTGTTACAACCAGAAACACGAGTACGGTGTCAGAGTTTTGAAAATCTGCAGATGTCTTCAAAGAAAGTGAAGTAGGCAGGTCTAGTCATCGTGAGCCATCATGCTCAAACAAACATCAAGTGAAGCTGCACATTCCTGAACAATTACAGGGTGCGTCTGAAAGGAGTGCACTGATGCGGTTATTCATGCTGTATGAGAGTTTAATCAAATCTACATAAATCACAACAAACACTTTAAACTTTTAATAGAAGTAATAAAGTGAAATGACTGAGGTTGTCGTTGTGTTATAAAAACATGTTCAGGTTTTAATTCATAATCCATGTCTTGATTTATATCAAGGGTGACTCAGTTGCTAAGTACTATAATTATTAGCTACTTTGCAGCTATATACAGTTAATAAAAGGCTGCAATATTTTTACATATTCTTTATCAAGATGGAAAACTTTTCAAGTTCTATCTTACAGCAACGTTAGAGTGTTACTATTTGGCCACTTTGAAAAATCAGCATCTCGTCTTTACATGTAGATTTTTATTGTTTTTACTGTTTAAAACATACATTGAAAGTGCCACAGGAAACACAAACAAAGAACTTATGTCACAATCACAGGGGGATGATGAAATTTGCATAATATATAGGAGGAAAATGAAAACAATTGGGATTTATAGTATATATTTTTAAAGATATTAATATATGTTAATCACTGTATGTCTGACGGTGTTCATACAAAGTCTCATCCAGGTTTGCCCTCCCGTATATACATATATATCCATACATACACTTACAATCAGATTCTACAATAGTAAACAACAAATGTTAGACACCTGCCAGAGGTTTCTCATTACAGCATCTTTACAGCTCACTGTTTAGTCTTATGCATTACAGCAAACTCACTTTGTGATTTTTGTCCTCACAACATCTTTGAGTCATTTTGTATTTTGGGGACATTTATTAAATTTCTGAGAGCAATTTCTGCAAACGTTGCACATCAGTGAAGACAAACAGGTTAAATTTGATCATTATTAATGAAACCACACTATTCATTTTCAAGGGGACAGAATGTTGTTCAACCCCAGACATCTAATACATCATGCTTTCTGCACAGACTGATTCTGTCTCTGACTCGGCTTCACCTCTCACTGTGCTGTGATCAAAGATTAAGAATGAGAGCTATGGAGGCTGTAACTGCTTTAGGAGACAGAGACACACTCTCAGTGCTGTCTGTAACAGCCTCAGCTCGGCTTTCTGCCCTTTCAGCTGTGTATCATTAGCTGCATTGTTTGAGAGAAACCGAGCAGGACAGAGAGTTTCGAAAGAAACAGAAAATGTTTTTGAGTTCTCCACTGAAATGTTCTGTGTTTTCTCCTGGTGTTGCAGAAGGTCGCTGTTTGTTTGGAGGTCGCCCACAGCAGCCAAAAGGCCAATTCTGCTGCCAGTAGACCCCGTTTTATTTCATTGAGATGAATCTAATTTAGTTACCAGCGACCATATGAAAACACAGTATATAGGAATTACAGGAAGATGGGTAAAAGGTCAGGTATTGACGGATTTACTTTAAAAATAAATCCCAGTAAAACCATTGTTTATGATCATATTGTGAACAGATCTCATGAAAAGACTGAAACCAACCAAGTGTTTGTTCTTAAAATATACAACCCTGTCCCCGCCTGTGACAGGTTTCATGTTTAAAACCTCGAAGTTATTTCCTAAAGCAGCTAAAGCATCTTGTTTTTTTTAACTAAACTGTGCACTGACAGGGGTAAGGGGTGCATTTCGAGGTGTATTTTTAGCCATGGATCGATACACATCCAATGCTTCTGTAAGCGTTTCTGACAGCAGGACAGTGTATGTGACAGAGACTCAAAATAAAGGAACGATGCCGACGTTTTTGCCGACACTAAGGGTAACAGTGTGGCTCATTTGTGTCGTTTCTGCTGTGTGTCACAGAATCGTCGGGTTATTTCGTGACAGTAAGAAAACCATTGAAGTTTCCCCTATGTTTCATTGCTGATATATGGACAAATAAGATCTGAAAATGACTTTAGGGTGATTGAATTCTCATCTTCAACTCAAGACATTGGACTGACAGTTATTTTTCTCTGACATTTATTTGTACTTCTTCAGATCTGTCGGAGCCAGGTGAAGGAGACCCAGCAGCAGTTTTTCCACAGCCTCGCAGTGAGGCAGAGCCTGCCAGTGCACTTCAACATCCAGCAGGACTGTGGCCACTTCCTGGCTGATGTTCCTGCCCGCCTGCTGCCCTGGGAAGAGGAAGAAGAGGAGGAAGAAGCAGATAAGGAGGAAGGGGGGCCGACAGTAAAGGACAAAGAGGCTAAGATGGCAGATTCAAAATCGCCTTCTCCAAATGGGAAGCTAGATGAAGTCCCGGCTGCGGGTCACATGAACACAGCTGGCCGCTTGAGGAGCCGAGTGGTGGTGATCACACGTGAGGTGCCCTTCCAGACAGTGGCTGACTTTGTCAGAGAAGGCATGAGCCGGCACACTCAAAACCCGGAGCTGTATGAGCGTCAGGTCTGTCTGCTGCTGCTGCAGCTTTGCTCCGGGCTAGAGCACATGAAACCTTTCCACGTGACCCACTGTGACCTGCGACTCGAAAACCTGCTGCTGGTCCAATGCCAGCCTGGCAACCCCTGGAATCTGGACTTACTGGAGCCCAACAATAACAGCAACGGCAGCAGCTCGGGGGCAAGCGCTGCAGCCACCGCTGCCGCCAACTCCACCTGCCCCGCACGCCTCATCATCAGCAACTTCTCCCAAGCGAAACAAAAGACCACTCTCATGGCCACTGACCCCGGCACGCTGCGCGACCAGTCGAGGCTGGCACCCGAAATCATCACAGCCACCCAGTACCGCAAGTGTGATGAGTTCCAGACTGGGATTCTGATCTATGAGATGCTGCACAGACCCAACCCCTTTGAGGAGACGCCGGAGTTGAAGGAGCGGGAGTACACCTGGGCCGACCTTCCACCGCTGCCCGTGAGATCGCTTTACTCACAGGGGCTGCAGCAGCTGGCGCGCTTGCTGCTCACCGTTAACCCCTCCGAAAGAATCCGGATGGCCGAGGCGCGGGCCTGCCTCCAGTGCCTCCTCTGGGGACCTCGGGAGGACTTGTTTCAGGCGCTGGGCTGCAGCAGCACCGGGCCTATGTCCGGGGCCACTTCGGGCCAACGCGAGGCCACCCTGCAGAACTGGCTGGACCTCAAGCGGACACTGATGATGATCAAGTTCGCAGAGCGCTCGCTGGACAACGCCTGTGGCGTGAGCCTGGAGGACTGGCTGTGCTGCCAGTACCTGGCGTTCGCCACCACAGAGACCCTCGGCCGGGTGGTGCACATCCTGCAACAGCCCCAACAGCATCCCCCATCTCCGAATGAGAACCAGCCAGTGCACCCAGCACAGAACCAAACTCAAATACATCCAGCACACACCTTTCACTTGACTCCTTCGCAGCCACTCTGAGTTTCTCTGCCCAACTGTTACTATGGCAACAGAGCCAACATATCCCCCCTGTGTGGTCCCTCTGCTGATGTTAAAAGTGTGATGTAAGCTAATAGTCAGCTCCACAGTGCTCACCTAAAACAAAACAGCTGCTTGTGCTGTGTCTGTGTTTTCTTCTTGGACTGAATCGGCCGTGCTAATTGAAATCATTTTGGCTCTCGTCATCAATGCCCCGCGTCTTCACATATCATGAGTTTATCACTCCACCAGTACTAAACTGAGGATTTTACCAAACGTGTGAGGAATTATTTTAAGATTTTGTGTTTCTGAGACAAGTCTCCAGACTTGGAGAGTTGTGAGTACTCAGTGTTAAATATCATTTTCACGCCATCTGTCTACAGGGTTTGAGGGAGTGTGAAATGAAATAACTAAGCTTCTACGGTGATGCATATTGATATTCTGCAAGTTTTGTCTGACATCTAAAGGGACACCACGGTCAGAATTTAGAAAGGAAACTGAGAATTTGGAGTTTCATCCCAATAATTTGACTCTTTTTTTTTTTACGCAGTGTTGTATTATAAGCAAGTTTTATTTGAATCAGAAAAAAGGGGAGTGTAGGGAGGATTTGAAATGAAGGGAGTGGAGGAAAAACAAGCTTTTGCCAGACATGAGGACATGGCTGAACATTGAATTTAATATATTTTAGTCTTGACATTTGCACAGCTGAGACTTCTTCATTTACTCATTGTGCTTTTAGAAATTCAAAAGCCAGTATGAAGTTGAAATTAACAAAAAAAATTAAAACATAAATAATTATCAAAACACATTTCTGCACAGAGCTTTGTAGAGGTGGGTGACGAACACTGAGCTAAACTTGGCTTTTCATTTGATGTTTTTACGCTTTGAAGTTGGAAAAGGCTCGACCGCCCTGGCTGCTGGTTTGGGTTCTTGTTGGCGTATGTGCAATTAATACCTGTCTTTTATTTCTTTTTGAGGTAACAGCATTATGCAGTCTTTTACTAATACTCTCTTCCTTTGTTTTTGTTTTGTGGCACATAAACTGATCAGTTTCATTTCAATCCTGCAACTTAAGAAGCAAGGTAAAGTTCAGTGGAAAGTACTTCTTATAGTAGATGGGATATTTCAGGGACTGCAAAAAAGTTATTCTTTGTCGATCGTTTTATCTTTTTGTCGAGTTGTTTTTGAACGGTTCTGCGTTACGGATGACATTTGCACATTTACATTTGGAACGCTGGTGCCCCTCGGTGGAGCCCGGAGCACACGGTGAGACTGAATAAAGTTCCTGTGAATCTGAGGAGCTGGATCTGATGTGTTTTGCAGCGTGTGGAATGTAAACGTTTGCGTGGACTGAAACGGACATTTGTTCTCATCTGCTCTACAAATGTGCTTTTTTTAGTTCAACCACTTAGTTTCATGTATAAATTCTATCTTGGAGAGAAACTAATTACACAGCCACTGACACTTGCTTCCATTCCTCCTATATTGTTTGTTTCCCCTCTTCTCTTTTCCCCCTTTGCTCTACCAGTAGGAGAGTAAATCCTGTATTGATGCTTCCTGCTTGTCACTCTGAATTAAACGAGCTCTGTGTTATTGACTTTCCAGTCTGGAGTCAGTAAAACCAAGACATGTACAGAAGCCTCAACCAGTAACACTTTATAACACAGTCCATAACTAAGAGTGTAATTCTCCTGTAATTTAGTGGAATTTTAACATATTTTATTTGAAACTGCAATGTAATTATATCCACATACAAATATTTAAAAGGTCGTATAATGGAATAACGGGGTAAAAAGTTAGATTTTTACTGGAAACAAAGACGTATTCATACTGTAAGTAATTGTAAAAACAAACAATATTTCTCTATCTTACACCGTAGGTGCTCTGTACTTTTCAGGGCATGGCCCAGTTATGGAGTGCCCTGACCTTGCTTAATTTCCAGATATTTTTACAGGACAGGAGAAACAATTTTAGGCAATATGTAATTAACTGTGAATTTTGCAGACAAACAGTATTTTCCTTTTCTACATCATAAGTATGCTCTACTTCTCGGAGTGTATCTGTATTATGGAGTGACTGAACCTCGCCTTTTCCACCCTTATTTAATGTTCATTATGTCTCCTTCGCTGTAAAATACTTAGAAGTTGGGCGTGGTTAAGCCACTCCCATGACCCAGAAAATGCAGTGTACTTACAATGTAAGATAATGTTTTTCTATTAAAGTACCAAGAAATTATGCAGTACTTACAGTGTAATTATTTCTGTTTCCTATAAAAACCTAACGTGTTACACCATTATTCCAGTGCACCTATCTTGAAGTATTTGTATCTAAATATAATTACATTGTCATTTCAAATAAATACATTACAATTCCATTCAATTACAAGGGAAGTATGCCCTCAGTCAGCGGCTGTATTATAAAGTGTTACCATTGAATTTAATGTGTCGAACAAAACACCCCGAATAATATCTTTATCCCAGAATTTAATACTTGGAGGACTGGTGCTGCAAATTTACTTTATTTCAGATGTGCAAAAACTTTGTGGTCCTTGGAGCAAAAAACGAGACAAAGCAGGTTTAAAGTTTGTTACTGTGTTCAAGGGTTTGTGTACTGAGGAATGTGTGTGGGACAGCACTGGTGGCTGTCCTTGTATTCAGAGTTAAGCCTTTATATATTAAATATAGTATAAATATATATATATAACCTTTATCTATTTTAATCCACACTATTTTGTGGCGTACGGAGCACTTCTATTTCTGTCACGAGAGTCTAATAATCATTTTATCTTTTAAAAGCTTTACTTGATTTTCTTCCACCTTGCATGTTTTGGAGGAAGAACAAGGTGAGTAGTTATCACTGTCCTACACAAAGAATCAATTGTAAAAGATCCCAATCATTCAGTTGCATCCACGCAAAGAACAATGTACAGTATTTTTACCCCTCTTGTAAAGTTACCTGCGTAGGAGAAAAACCACTTTGGCTGAAGGATGACTTTTGAACGCACCACTGAACCATAATATTCATCCGCCGTTTGGAATACGGCGGACGTTGTTTTCTGTTCCTCTTTCTGCTCTGGTTTTCTCTTTTGCATTGTTAACTGCCACTGAATCTAAAAACGGAAGCTCTCCAGGGCTTTCTAAGTATGTGTACAGTATGTCTCCTGGCCTGCAGCCATTTATTGTTGTTCAATTTAACCAACAGTAACAGAACAATAAATATATGTTTTTTATATATACTCTTTGTGCTCTGTGTCATTTTTGCTTGATTTAACTGTTTAGAAAAGGAAGGATTTCAGTCTTTCTGCCAAAGTTTTTATTACTTTTTTTTTCTTGGAAATCAGGATAGTTATTTCAGGTCATTCCATCCATTCGCTACCGCTTATCCTTTTCAGGGGGGCGCTGGAGCCTATCCCAGCTGTCATAGGGCGAGAGGCGGGGTACATCCTGGACAGGTCACCAGTCTGTCGCAGGGCCAACACACAAGGACAGACAACCATTCATACTCACATTCACACCTAGTGACAATTTGGATTATCCAATTAACCTATCCCCACAAGCTGCATGTCTTCGGACGGTGGGAGGAAGCTGGAGTACCCGGAGGGAACCCACGGGGAGAACATGCAAACTCCACACAGAAAGACCCCGGCCTGATGGTGGAATTGAACTCAGGACCTTCTTGCTGTGCGGCAACAGTGCTAACCACCGTGCTACACTGCTGCTATTTCAGGTCATTCTTGACCTGAATTGATACAGCCACATCAGCAAAATAAGAATTGTCCTCAAGCTCAATGCTGATAAGGAGCCTTTAAATTATTTACAGTGGGCATTATAAAACTGGAAACATGGGTTGTTTTTTTTACTCTATAAAGTACTCAGCAGTTTGTGTTTAAATGAGGTTTTTGTTACTTAAAAACCACATTGAAAGTGGTTTTAAGGAATAAACACATTTCTTTTTAAACAAGTTTCTGTTTATCCCAAATGCCTGTATTGGTACTGTCTGCTTGCCTCCGTGATAGCTTTCAGAATTAATTAAAGCAAAATCCCCTCCAATTTTTGCTTTTATTGTAATATTATATAACAAGAGTGAATGGGAAGGTGTGTAACATGGCAGTGAGACCTGCTATGATGTATAGTGTAAAGAATGTGAAACCGACAAACACAGACAGAAGAGCGAGCTCGAAATTTCAGAGTTAAAGATGCTAAGTTTTTCCAATGGACATCCGAGGGACAACTGAGGTCGAGCAGCTTGGAGACAAAGTTAATGAGTAAAGTCTGAGATGGTTGGACACGTGCAGAGCAGGGATGGTGGATGTTTGGAAGGATGCAGGAGATTGAGCTACCAGGCAGGAGGTAAGGTGGAAGACCTCAGAGTAGATTGACGGATGGAGTGAAGATTGTATTGACATGCAGAGGGTTGGTGTGACGGAGCAAGATGATCTGCTATGGCGACCCCTGAAGGAACTAGCTGATAAGAAGATGTAGTTCTCTGCCAATGTTTACCACCAGATGGCGGCATGCTAAAGAACAACAACATGCACCGCTCTCCAGTGTTCAAAATCTCTTTACTGGCTGACTCTGTTTAGTAGTGTGTACCACATTCACGCATCTGTGAAGCTGTGAAAAGGAGTAAATACCTGCAAGTACATGTATTTACATTACATAAACAAATTAAATCACCTCTTTGGGCCAAAATAACAACTTTGCAGTTCTTCATCAACACACTGCTGAGTGTCTGTGATGGCATCAGCCACACAGGGGTAAATCAGTCCATTTGTTCACTTTATGAGTTTGGTTTGCAGTTTTCTTCATTAATATAATTCATTAATCATTTGGTTAAACCCCCTGATAATATGAGGCATGCACATAATATTGTGTGATTTTTCTAAAAATGTTTTGTTATATTAATTATGTTTCTTTTTCTTTGAGTTACCTGGTTTTGGGCGGTGGCTGTTTCCTGTCTGGGCGAAAGGCGTGGCTGAGGACTCTGAGAGCAAAATGCCTGCTCAGCAGGACAGACCATGTGCTTATCAGGAACAGGGGTGTTTTAGGTTTACTTAGGTTAATCTGTGCTTAGGTAATATTAGTGTGTTTGTTTTCCCCCTATTGTGTGTAAATGGTTTGGCCAAACCACTATAAAAGCTACCCTCATGCATCTTTGTAATTAGGTCAGTTTGTGAGTTAAGTTGTGTCCACTTTGTTTATTTAAGTTTCTGGAAATTACTTTTTGCAGAGTTATATTTAGTTGACCTCTTTTATGGGCCTGCTAATTATGTTTTTGAATTTTGTCATTTTTGAACTTTTTGAGGGTTAAAATAAAGAAAAGTTTTTTGAAGATTTTGCCTGTGTCCTCTATGCCTTGGCTGCTTGGTCCCTCACAGTGTCTAATCTGTATCAGCGAATAATCACAAAAGATGTGGGTGTATGTGTGTCCTGTGGGTGGTCAAATCAAAACATAGCATTTCCGCCTGATTTTTGAAACACAGTTTTGGCTCATTTGAATCAAGTTGAATGAGATCAAAGAGGTCAGTCTGGTGCTCAGAGGATCCTGCGGCGATGGCCTTTGGCATGTGTTTGACCAATCATTCAGGTGAGCTATGACAACACCTCCAGAATTGAGAGTTATTATACGGTTGGGAAAGTGTAGCTGTCCAAACTGCTGAATAAACACCTAAATTGTCCTTTATGGGTTTTGTTATTTGTTTAACGGTTTTATAGCTATTATTTTATACGATGTTAGCTGGAATTTGCAGGTTTTCCACAACTTTTTGCAAATTCAAAAGTGGATTTTGCAACTTTTTGCAAATAGAAGGTCCTCGAGGTGATCGTGTATGCATTAAAAAGGATCTTTTATGCTATTCTCTTTTTGTCACGTGTGTTCCAGTGATGGATGTTCATATTAAACGTGGCCATGAGCATAGAAACTCGCATAACCTGGATGTCATGGCTTCAAGCTGCTTTAAACATAGTTTTCTAATCGTGGCGCTCTATGATGTTGATTAGAACAGAGAGCCTTAATATCCCGCACTCTTAGAATCTTTAAAAAAAATTGAAAAGAATGTGTTGTTACACACTTTAACACATGTAAAACAAAAACATTTAATTTCACACCTTATGTGTTGGTTTTAGCACGCACAGCTCTGGGCAACTGCTGTGTGGGGCAGCCAATCAGAATAAAGCTTGCTTAAAGGACTAAAATTCATTTTTTGGAAGGCTGACAGTAGATATACAGCTTTGCCAAGGCCCGGTATGAGTAAAATGTAGTCTGAACTGTGGAGCATGGGACTCAAGGATTTGGGATTGAGTGAAGCATGTCCCCTTTAAGATTCAGACTTTGATCTTATTTCATATTTCAAGCATTTTATATGCAAAACTGTTGTCAAGAGTATGCCCTCCTGAGATGAATGAAAACTATTTCCAGCAAGAACTGTCTGGGTTAGTTTTCAGCTCAGTTATTAAAATTACTTTTATTTGTGTCTAATAATGTTTTAAAGACCAGCTGATGGTTTGTAATTACAATGTTGGGCTTGTAAAGTAACATTTAAAAAAAAATCACATATCATATGAGCTGTGTCTTTGCAGCATTTCACTCATTAAAACCGACTGCAGCATGTAGTGAGTGCACACTAGTTGGAAATAGTTTAATTAGAATTATTTGGGGGAAATGAGGACTGATGCATGTTTTTCTTATCAGAGGTTTTATTACTGCACCATGCCAGCCTCCAGCACAGACAGTTATGCAATTTCACACTGAATCATCCCTAACAGCTCAAATCTCAGATGAATCAGGGTGGTGGTGATGGCGGTGGAGGAGGTGGAGGTTTGTTCAGCAGACAGATTTTGATCATTTGAGGTGGGGGGCGCAGGAGAGTTTTCACAGGCGTCAGATTTGTGGAGGGATGCTGAGGGTGACTTCAAAAGTTTGGGTGTACCTGTGTACCTCTCTCTCACTCAAACACACACCTCCTCCTCGTGCGCGGGGTTGTGTAACAACAGTGTGTGCACGTAGAGCAGGCAGGTCCTCCCCACTGCTGCTGTTGTGAAGCCTTGAAGGAGGAGGAGGCGGTGGTCGAGTCTATCGAGCAGCCCGAAGGTAGAAGTTGCGCTGCAGGGGTGGGACTTCATTTGTGCAGTCGGTCGGAGGTTCATCTGCGGCTCTGGCTGCAGCTTTCTGCAGACCTCAGTGACGGAAACACACGGACCCCTCTGAGTTAAACATCAAACCCTCCTCCTCCTCCTCTTCTTCTTCTCCCTCTTCTCCCTCCTCCGGTTGGCCGTATCTGAACGCTTCCGGATGCGCTGACCCAGCAGCAGCTCCTCCACCATCAGCACCATCATCAGTGTGAACGCCGTGTCCCTCGCTCCACCTCCCCGGGGTAGATAAACCCGACCGGCACCGCTGTCATCGGATGGAGAGAGCCACCTGAAGAAGGGAGAGCGGTGGAGTTGGTCTACCCCCCACCTCCTCTTCCTCCTTCCTCTCCACTGCGCCAAAAGAAAACTCCCGGTAAGAAATGCGTGCTAACTCCGGCCGGCTGGCTCGGTCGACCACGGCCAGCAGCTCCGTGCGCTCCCGCTGAGCATAAACATGCAACCCAGACCCGGGACCTTGCTCCCGGGCTTCCGTGTTGGCATGAGGGGATTCATTTAAATTCATTAGAGACGCCTGTGAATACATTCCAGCAGACGGGATGGTGGGATATGCTTCGCTTCTGTGTGTGTGTGCGTGTTTGTGTGTCTCTGCCTGGCTTTTTGATCCAAATATTGATTTGCGTTGCAAGTCGACTGAAGTGCAGGCGCAGGGCACGTGAGACTGGTTAGATGTCTGTGAGGATGCTGTGAAAATATGGAGACGGCTAAAAGTTGCTTTAAGACAGACGTTTGTTGTTAAGGATTTAAAGCAGGGATAAAAACGTTGGCATCATTGGAAAGTTCGTGATACTTTGGAGTTGAGTATTGTTGTAAAACCTAGCTCACTTTCACAGAGGTGGATTAAAGTTATTAACCTAGTAAGTAACCGTTTTACTTAGTAGGCTGACAGTTTGTGTTTAATTTTACTACTCTATAGCAGGGGTGTCAAATATAAGGTTCGGGGTCCAGAATCGCCCGCCCAGGACTTCAATATGGAGTTTATTGTAGTTTTGAATTTTCATATTAGTTTTAAATTTGTATTTCATTTTGA